CGTAGTATCTGGGTTACGTGCTTGTACCTCTAAAACATAATCCCTTAACAACCTGTATGGCTGGCATAATCTCCTTGAACATGCTTTAAAGCTTGCTGCTTTGCCCTAAAAGTTTTCATATGCGAAATGTCCATCTGGTACTCACGTTGGAGTTGCTCTCGTAAAGCCCTAATAGGAATCTTTGGGTTTGTCTCAATAACTTGTACTATATGCTCTGAAAGGAACTTATAGTCACATGCTTTGACTTTCCTTGTTTGTAGACATCGATGCTCCTTCGTGTATGTCTTAACCATCCAATCTATGTCACGCTTCCACTTACTACAATATATAACCCATGGGCATTTCTCTTCTTCATTAGTAGCAAGATTTGGTATAGTGCCTTACACACAAACCTAACCCTATTCTTATCATTTTTCTCTAATTGTATTTCCCTTCTTGTCCTTATGGAATGTAGTTTCACTTGTGTCTTAAAGTCCTTAGATGAACTGAAAGTTTGAAAAATGTATAAGGGCTCACTAACCAAAGTTGCATCATTTTCATAAGCCCTATGTATGGCCCTAATAGTTTTCCTTCGCTTACCATCATTTGCCTCATCTGATGAAGACCCAGACAACAAAAACCTCTGTGTTGATCACTTCTAAGTCACCTTGTTGTGTATCTTCAGGTACATTACTTTCAGAAGAACCCCAACCCATTACATCCTTGTCAATGTTCATATGGAAATTTTTCATATCCACATCAACATCGTGTATGAGATTGTCCTCATCAATAAAAAAATCACTATCTTCACTCTCACTATCTTCATCAAACTCATCATTTCCACTGCCATTATTGTGTCCACTACCATCATAATCATCCTCATTCTCTACATTCATTTCAAATTCAATATGGTCGACCAAAGATGGTTCTTTGTCCAAATGACTATCATTCTCAACTTCTGTTAGGTCTGGAACACTCTCATGCTCAATTGGAGAGCCATTCCACTCCAATAACAACTGTTTGGAGCAAGCTGGTGGCTCTTTAATTTCAATAATTTTAGCCTTACTAGGGTTGGGGGACATAGAATAAGTATGTAAATTTGTTTTCCCATGCTCAATATATACATCTATTACCTTATGGTTAGAACATACGTACCCAGATGATGAACATCCTGATCTGAACCCAAAGCAAATAACCCAAAATCCAAATCGCCAAATGGTCTCAGGAAATGATAATAGAGTAGTGTTTTGTCTGAATCAATATGCCCAAGTTCCTCCATCATCTCGTCAATGTCGTGAATGGAAAAGGTGTCAATGTCTAGTAAATCAACATAATTTTGCTTGCCTTTGATGTACTTTCTTCCAGGGAACTTTGTAAACTGTCCACCATGGTGTAATCGGACAGAGAATATCGTCGGATGTCCGACTGTATATTCACGGAAAGATTGGTTAGTCACATTTTTCTTTTTAAGTTACTAACTGATTGAGGGAGTAAACACTTACCATATCTACGAGCAACGTCAATCTCGTCCATGTAGCACGTATCCTCCAAGGCGCCATCGTCGTTTTCAAATGTAGGGTTCTTTCGATCAAGGGTTTTCAAAGGGTTTGTCTGTGAAGCTTGTGTCTGATCACGTTGATCAACAATACGTCCTTTTTTTTCTTGGCGGTATAACATTGGATATGTGAAAAGACTTTTATACCCCCAACGTGCAAGGCATGTGGGGTGTCTAACGGAAACAATTGACGGAGTGTGAGAATAGGGACTAGGCGGGTTACATAATTAAAAGTTGAGGATAGTCCGAGTTAGAAAAATAAGTTAGGGACCAAGCGTGTAATTTATACTAAACCACAGGGACCATTCGCGTAATTTACTCTAAAATAAATTTGGGTGATTTAGCGATGTTGTAAATATCACCATGGAAATGGGTGATGCATTTTTGTAAAAAGGGTAAGTGGCATCCAGGGAATATTGGACCGTTCAAGATTTAGAAGAATATTGGAGTTTAAGCTTTTAAGTTAGATTTACCTTCTAAACATATTGGAATACATGAAGTGTTTCATGTATACTATTAGAAGAAGTACTTTTGGAATGAAGAAGAAATCATTCCCCTAAATGATTTGTGAATAGAAGCTTCAAATCGGTTGATTTAACATCCAGAAGTAATAACTAAATCTCAAGCAAGAAAGTTAAGAAATAAAGAGATTGTACTTGTTTTGGTTAAATGGAATCATTTTTTTAGATTCGACCAAACTTAGGAGACGAAAGTGGAAATAAATAAGCGATACTCTAATTTAGATTTTGATATGATTTCGAGGATAGAATCTTTTTAAGGGATGTAGATTGTAAGAACCTAGAACTTTTTGTATAATTATTTTAGATTGTGATTTTGTGTTTTAGGGCATTATGGACCTTTGGTAAAACACATTTTGTATAATGGTATTAAGTGCCTTATTGAATATCTTGGTAGATGTTTGAAGTATGGTATATGTTATTATGTATGGAGAAAAGAGTTGAATATGATAAGTATAAGATATGGGTATTATAATATCATTAAAAGAGCTCAAAATTTGATTTTATCTTTACCTCAACACAGTAGCTAAGGTTTCATAGCATGGTGGCAGATGCAGTGATTTGGGTGAAAATTAACATAAGTCAAGTGCAAAGTACTTGGAATGCAACGATGTATTATGGGGTACTACGTCGTGGTGGCGAAAGTATGATGCTAGTGTGAATAGACACCACGATAGTATTTGGGGACACCACATAGTAACTTGAACGCTCCATGGCACAATAAAGGTTAGACATGTTGGGTTTTGAGCGTAACATCATTCCTATGGTGTACATGCAACCCTAATTTCTTTGTATCTAGGTTTTTCTAATTTGAACATACAACTATGAATACCGAAGCAATAACCCTGTGACTAGCATACATATATCGAAAACCACATATGATTAGGGTTAGAATCTTTACCTCTCTTGTTATGTAGTAATAACAAGTTCAATCATTCTTGATGTTGACTTCTGAAAGCCTAGTGCCCCAAGTGTTGCACCTCTAATGGAATCACAAACACTCAATGCAAGGAGGATGACTTGGGAGAGAAGGATTTCGGTTAGGGTTTCTTTCTTGAATGCTTAGGCCGAAAATCCCCTTGTATGGGGTCCTATATATAGTTGTGGTTGCTAGGGTTTTCAGGTGGAAACCCTAATACCTAACTTAGGCAACAAGCAGCCTATGAACTCCTTCCTTTGAGCCCATGTACGAAATCTTATGGGCTTCCCTATAAATTTCGTCCACTCCATACTATGGAGTCCATCAGCCCAGTTATGCAACTATCAATGATTTGCATAACAATCCCCTAATTATTTAATCAGTCTCTTTTAACCACTAAATTAATTCCAAATTAATTTCTGATCAATACTGATTAAATAATATGATTTCCAAATAATATATTAATCTTGTAATATATTAATAAACCCATTTTTAGTACTAATTTATTATTCACATAATAAATTCTACTCTTTCTCCTCTTTTCATCCTATCAAGTTACATGAGTGAAGGCAACCCAAAACGACCATGCTCATAATCAAATCAAGTACATACCAAAAAATAGTTATGGGCTTAAACACCTAATCCAACAGTCTCCAACTTGGATAAGTCTAATAACTATTATTGCAAGTTCAAATTCAGAATCTTATTAGCAATCGTAGCTTTCAAAAGCCGCTGTCAAACTCTGATCTTATCAGCAACACGTCCTTTAGATAAGGGACCATATATTCCTCCATTCTATATATCATATGAACTGAGACATGGATTATAATCATTCTCTTTGTTCATGTGTTGTTTCCCAATTTCCGATTTATGACAACTGACAACAGACTACAATTGAACACATCAACTTAGTCTAGGCTTGGCCAATACTTAGGGTCTCATCACTAAATCATCTAGGGTCCCACATTATCCTATTTTGGGTAAAAGGAATGGGTAAACATCGACTCATATGCTTGCACTATTTACTCTTCAAATCATACACAATAATACGTTTTACAACATCAAGTTACTGATGCGTTTATGTAGTATCAATGTGCAACCGACTCGCAAACAACTTCTCATATATCTCCGTTTAAAGAATATAAGATATTATCGTCTCACAATCACTCGTGATAAAATCCATGAAGTTATTCACGTGAGCGTGGGTTTAATCTAATACTCAAATCTTATTTCAGGAGCACTCATGAACTTTGCAACAAACTATTGCTATGTATAGATGCTTTAGACAATCTACAATCCAATTCATGACAGTCTTGCCTTAATACTTACTTCCAACGTATGATCGACTGTGGATGTTTGAATAATCTAGTTATTCTGGAAGTCAAAACATGCGAAGTGAAACACAAGAATAACTGAATCCAATATGACCTTAACACTTTGAGCATAAATAAAACACCTATTATTTAATCACCATATTGATTACACATTATTCATTGTATAATGTTTCGGTTAATCAACTTTATACTTGAATTATAACAATAGTTGTCCCATGCTCCAAGCATGCACACTCTGTTTACCTATGGTCCTTACTTTTTGAAATAGATAAATTGAACACATTTATAATGATGCTCATTTCACAATTTCTTATCCTTATTACAAGTGTAAGAACACTAAGTTCTTCCCAATACTAGAACTTGTTAGATTCTAACATTTTATGCAATGATCCTTTTTGTAATGACATGGCACCAAATTCACAAAGACTTTGCCAATGATATTACAAAGTGCTCTATTGGAGATTGTTACAAGACAAATCCATAGACATGAAGTATCAAATTCAAAGTACATTCCTTTGAGCATCCTTCTTGCATAAAAGTTTCTAACCTACACATAGATTCTTAATATCCAGCTCCCATTATGGAAACATTTCCATATTTTCCATATGACAACACATTGTAAATAGAATCCTACCTATTCAAAATAATGACAATATGGTCCATCCATTACTATACTTCCAACTGCTCACAAGTGACCAATCATTGGCGAACCTTAGATTGTACTTGATAGTTGTTTAACTTACTTTATTAATATCTGATTCTTGTCCTTTTCGTTCTTAATGTCGTCGGCATTTGGAATAGACAAAACGATCGAATATTACAGCATATGTAATTGATCCTATACCCTAAGCGTATTGGATATGATACATAATGTCTTACATAAAGACATGATACTTTACTAGTCTCTTGCAATAATATTGCTATATATAGAATTCCCTTATGTTGAATCTTTTCAACATAACATTCATATATGTCCTTTGACTAAATTTGATTAAAATTTCTTGAACTAAGCTTTTAGATTTGAAATGGAGTATGAATTTCTCTCCCTTAATTACAGCGAAACAACTTTTCAAACTCTACAACTTTGTTAATTGAAACTTTTGTTTTCTCTTATTAATATTGCTAACTCGCAACACTTAACATAATGATCATGCTCCCACCAACATGATAATTATATCTTTATCAGCATAACACTTATGCTCCCACTAGCTTCGACATGTACTTACAAAACAACTTGACTTCTAGGAATCGATACTTATTGATTTTCTTACCGGAGTTCATAATTCCAATACGTGATGCTTCGATAAGAATTTATCTAAGCTCATACACATTTTATTAGAAATCTCATATGTGTGTCTACACTATTTCAAAACTTATATCAATAAGTCCTAAATGTTCAGACTAATTTCCAAATCTCACCATTTGGAAGCACAAAGGCATACCATGTCTTCCAAGCAGCCCACCCATACAGATAAATGAACTTTCATTGATTAAGGTGCTTTGCCTTTATGCATTCATATGAGAACTCATAGAACTCACATGCATAGTCAACTCAACTGGAATGCTAAAGAAAAAAGAATATGTCAACATGATAGGTTACAAACCTCAAGTCATGTGTAACGTCATAGATTTCAAAACCAATTTTTTTCATTTTTACAATCATTAAAACATTGATTAATAAAATTTAGGTTCCAATGTAACAATTTAGTCACGACCAATTACATATCAAAGATCACAAAATGGTTTTCCCGAGTGTGTGTACGATCACGCTGGCGCCTTCCCACAATCCTCGCTAGTACCTGAAACACATAACACAACAACTGTAAGCATAAATGCTTAGTGAGTTCCCCAAAATACAACCTACGCACATACGCCTTTCCAGGTCCTGACCTTCCGGTCCATGTGTCTCAGGGGACTTCCGTCCCGGCTGGATAAACCTTCCGGTCCTACCCACGTCAACCTTACGGTCCATATGACGACGCCTTCCGGCCCATAACATATTGCCTTCCGGCCCATATCAAGCATATCATACATGGCACATATAACGAATAACTTATTACACATAAGGCATATATCTCATATCATATTCGACCTTCCGGTCACGCAGTCAAACCCTTCCGGGTACAATATAGTGAGAAGACTCACCTCTTATGTCTCGCTAATTCGTGAACCCTGGAAATCACTCGTGCTCGAACCCCCGAGCTGTAATCCTCCTATGACATCATGAATCTATAATTATTACTTGTACCACTAGGGTTGACCATTCTTATGAAGTCAACACTGGTTGACTTGGTCAACAGTCTTTGGTCAAATCGACTGGACTCGGCGAGTGCACTATAGTGACTCGGCGA